AGAACAAAAAAAAAAAATATCATCTGTAATAATCAAGTGCTGCTCTATCCCAGGGATGCAGGGATGATTCAATAAACAAAAATTCATCAATGTAATCTACCATGTAAACAAATGGAAAGAAAAAAAAATAACACATGATCATCTCATTATTTGCTGAAAATGACTTTGATAAAATCTAACATGCCTTCATGTTAAAAATCATGGAGAGTTCATGTTTACAAACACACAAAAAAGAAACATACAGCAAACCTATAACCAACATCACACTAAATGGCAATTCCACTAAAATCAGGGATAAGACAAGGCTGCCCACTCTCTCTGTAATTCTTTAATACAGTGATTGAAGTCCTAGCTAGAGAAATAAGACAATGAAATAAGTCCCTGCTTCCCTACACATATGAGGCTGATGGACTGCTTGGTCCTCAAGTGGGTTTCCAAACAGTTGGAGCAAGGTCTGTCTCTGACTTGGACTATTTTGCCTCCCTTTGGACCCTATTTACCTAGTAGGGCTGCCTTGTCTTTCATCAATTTAAGAGGAGGCACTTAATCCTGATGGAAATTAATATGCCAGAGTGAGTTGGTACCAGGTGGGGGAGGACATGGGGGAACAGGATGAGGGGCTGGTACTGGAGGAGAGGACAGAGTAAGGTTGCAATTTGGATATAACGTGAACAAATAAATTCATTAATGAATAAAAAAGACAACTAAAGTTGATTAAAGGGATACAAGTGGCAAAAGAAAATGTCAAAGTATCACTATTAGTAGATGATATGACAGTATACATATGTGCTCCAAAAGCCCTATCAGAGAACACCTACACCTTCGACAATTTGGCTAGATATAAAATTAACTAAAAAAAAAAAATCAGTAGCTGTTTTATATACAAATGATAATTTGGCTGAGAGAAAAATTAGAGAACAACCTTCAGAATAGCAACCAATAATATAAAATATCTTGGTGTAACTCTAATCAAAAAAGTGAAGACCTTATTTATAATAGTCAGAAGCTGGAAACAGCCCAGATGCCCCTCAGCTGAAGAATGGATGCCGAAATTGTGGTACATCTATACAATGGAGTATTACTCAGCAATGAAAAATAAGGAAATCATGAAATTTGCAGGTAAGTGGTGGGACCTGGAAAGGATCATCCTGAGTGAGTTGTCCCGGAAGCAAAAAGACACACATGGTATATACTCACTCATTTAGACATACAACATAGGATAAAACCACTAAAATCTGTGCATCTAAAGAAACTAAGTAAGAGAGAGGACCCTAACTAAAATGCTCAATCCCCATCCTGAAAGGCAAAGAGGATGCACATCAGAAGAAAAAGAAAACAGGAAACAACCTTGGAACCTGCTACAGAGGGCCTCTGAAAGCCGGAAGAAGAAAACAAGAAACAACCTAGGAACCTGCCACAGAGGGCCTCTGAAAGCCTCTGCCCTACAGACTATCAAAGCAGATGCTGAGCCTGATGGCCAACTGATGGGCAGAGTGAATGAAATTTTATGTAAGAAGTGGGAAATAGTAAGAGCTGGAGAGGATAGGAACTCCACAAGGAGAGCAACATAACAAGAAAATTTGAACACAGGGAACTTCCCAGAGACTCATACTCCAACCAAGGACTATTCATGGAGATAACTTTGAACTCTGACAATGCAGCCACTTCTGATGAGAACTGATAGACTAAGATCAGAAAGAAGGAGAGGAGGACCTCCCCTATCAGTGGACTCGAGGAGGTGCATGCATGCAGAAAGGGGGGGGAGGGTGGGACCGGGAGGGGAGGAAGGAGGGGCTTATGGGGGGATACAAAATGAATAAAGTGTAATTAATAAAAGTTAAATAAAAAATTTAAAAACAAGAATCATAAAAAAAAGGACATTACATCCTGGTATGGTTGTGGAGGAACATTTCTCCATTGCTGGGAAAATGCAAATTTTTAAAAGTACTTTGGAAATCATCTGGCAGTTTCTCTGATAATTGGGAGCAGTTTTAGTTCAAGACCCTGGGACCCTGCACACATTTAGCCTAAAGGAACATGGTCTTCATATGGGGGTGCCTGGTGATTGAGTGTGTGGTTCTAACATGAACTTTGTTGTTGCTTTTGGATCACTTACCCCTGGCAGTGCTACTGGCCTCAGAAGATGAAGATATGCTCAGTCCTACCTACAAGATGTGCAGGGATAAAGATGGAGCAAAGGCTGAAGGAATGGCCAACCAAGGACTGGCCCTTCTTGAGACCTATCTCTTGAAAGAGAACCAACCCCTGACACTATTAATGCTGCTGTGCTATGCTTGTTAACATGCTTCACCCAACACCTGATGGAAACAGAAACACAGACTCACAACCAAACATTATACAGAGCTCTGGGAGTCCTCTGGAAGATTTGGAGAATGCCTGGTGGGGTTGGACAGGTTAAGGACTCCACAGAGTCAACGAACCTGGACTGAACCACCAACCAAAGAGCATGTTTGGACTGGTCCTATGCCCCCAGCTTATATGTACCAGATGTGCAGGTTGGTCTTCATGTGGGTCCCTAACAACTTAAACTGGGCCCTTTCTGACTCTGATGCCTCCCTTTGGATCTCATTCCCCTTACTGGGATGCCTTCTCTGGCCTCAGTTGGAGAGGATGCACCTAGTCTTGCAGTGACTTAATGTGTCAGGACAAGTTGGTAACCATGCAGTCCTCCCCATTTTCTGAGAAGAGGAGATAATGGAGAGAGGGGTGTGGGCGGGACTGGGAGGCAGGTGGGCTGTGATCAGGATTTAAAGTAAATTAATTATTTAATTAATGGAAAAAATAATAAAATGTGTTAGTGGAGGATATCTGGAATTTGGGAGAAAGAATATGGTCATGATTATTTTTCTGTTATTAAGATTATATGAGCCATATAATGTTTTTTTTTTCTTTTTTTAAGTCAGAGTATAATCATATATTCTAAATAGTCTCCCAAGTTGCACCCTTCCTGACTTGGATTCTTGAGTACTGATATTATATATATATGTGCCACCATATATGCTGTGGAATGTACTAAGTAGATAACATATTGTTATATTGGCATTATATTTAGAATAGTATCTAAGAGCCAGGATTTGTGTTATTAGCCTTTAATTTTTTCTTTAAACCTTATCTGAAACCTCTCTGGCTCACTGAACTTTTGACACATTAGTTATTTGCTACAATCTTTACTATGTAAAATGTTCCCTAAACTAAATTTTTATGCTCATTTTAAATTTTTCTCATCAAAGACCATCTACTTACTTACCAATAGACTTCAAATGAAATTAAATGTTCAAACTTGATATCCTAGAAGATTCAATTACTCATTGTAGTAGGACTACCCTTTTCATAATACCAAGTTAATCCTCTAAGTGGTAAATAATTTCTGATTTTGATGGAAAGCTGGAAAGCTAATATTTAGAGCAAATATCCAAAATGAATTGCTCCAGAACTCAATTATTCAAGCAATATTATTTACCATATAATTTCTAAAAATTATAAATGTTGCCTGTTGAAAAATATCTTTAATAACAAACAAATATTCAGATGTATTTTCTTAAGTGTTAGTTCATGGTGAAAAAAAAAATAAAATTTGTGTTTTGTTTTTCATAGTACAGAGCCTCCAGTTGCTGTTCATCAGCAACTGTCCAGGACTCAGAGGCATCGACAACCTTGAAACAATCTTTAGCTAGTAATGGCAGATCCTTAAACTCCTAATCAATCTTTTCTCAATTTGCTTTTAGGTATAAAACTCCTCTATACTGCTCATTGAACCTCAATTTTAAAATCTCTTCTCCATCCCTGACTCTGCACTTTCCAAGAACATTGCTGGTCCTGATCTATTGTACCCAAGGAGGAAATGTGTTTGTATCATCACCAATCTTCAGAGGATTTTGTTGTAGAGATTGAAGCCTGTGGGCTGTATCCAGCAGAGAAGCATATCTGATATGAACATCTGTTGTACTTTCACAGACATATTGAAGTTGTATAGTTAAATTCATACTTAAAAGATTTTTACTGCAGTCTCATTATAGTAAAGATTTTCTTGGACTTTGTTTGAACCAAATACTCTTCAATAGTGCATACACCAATCCCATGTTCATAAATGATGACATATTCCCACAGAACACCAGCACTACAAACAAATGCAATGATGTAACTATCCTGAACACTTCAGGGAATACATTTAAATGGTCAAGTCTAGTTCACATGATCTTAAAGGAAGATTTTGGGTGGTTTTTATCAATTTGGCACAAGGCTTAAAAGCTCCACCTCTGTCTGACTGACTCAGTATGAGCCTGTGGAATGTATACCCCACCACAATAGGTGGCTTAGCACTTGTATGCAGTTCTGCCATTTTAGTTTCTAGAATGTGGGTGTTTCTCATAGTCTCATTGAGTGTAACAGTATTTTCTCTTATGTAAGTCTTTATGTCATGCCTCAAGAATTTATGCTTCCTATCACTTTTTAGTAACCGTGTGTGTGTGTGTGTGTGTGTGTGTGTGTGTGTGTGTGTGTGCACACCTGGTAGTTCTATAAAAACATGCAGCATAGAAGAAACTCTAGGTAGCTAAGACTGCTCTAGTTTCCTTTTCCTGTCATAAAGCCAGGGTTAATATTAACAACTTTCTTTTACTTCATATGTATATTTATTCTTATTGCTAGGCACTGTTGTTTTTGACTGTTCTGAGTTAAATATACAAGTGTGTCTCTGGGTATGACACAGAACTCCATTTAGATATAATTGTAAAACTCAAACTAGTTCCCTAAAATTCTTAATTAATTTTGTGACTCAAGAACCCTAATATGAGGTCTAGAAACAACACCTGACATAACAATGTCTTCATCCTCATACCCATAAAGTAGAAGAGTTGGATGAGAAATACTGTTATTCACTCTATAACCTACTTCTCATTTTTTCCTATTGATACTGAAAGCAGCCAACATTATACCACTAATTAAAATGAATCATGACTTGGAATTTAAAAAACAAAAGTGGGTGCTCACTTGAACAACTCATATACTAAAATTGGTACTATGAAAAGATTAGCATAGTCCCTTTACAAGGTTAGAATTACAATCTGTGAATCATTCCATAATTTTAAACTCCAAACAATGGAAGAAATGAATAAAAATGTTTAAGATTTTCAAGTGAAAATAAAATCAGCAAAGCAAAACCAAACTGAAAGAAATTGGAAAGAGAAAATTAAAGAACTCAAACTTCACAGTGATGCATTACTGGCAAAATAAAAGATAGAAGAAAAAAAAATCTCAGGCCTTGATGACAGGATAAAATAAATGGATACTTTGATCAAAGAACATGTTAACTTTAAAACATCCAGGAAATCTGAGATAATATGAGAAGACTAAGTCAAAGATTAATAAGAACAGAGGAAAGAGAAGAAACCCAGAAAATATTTTCAACAAAATTATAGAAGAAAAATTTCCCTAAGCTAAAAAACAAGATGTTTTGAACCCAGTGGCCTGCTCTCTGATCACCCCCACTTACCAGGCCTCAGAGGAAGACAATGCAGCAAGCCTTGATGAGACCTGATAGACTAGAACAGATGGAATAGGAGTAAGACCTCCCTTATCAGTATACTAGGGGAGGGTTGTAGGGGAAGAAGAGGGAGGAGGCTGGGCTTTGGAGGAGACTAGGGAGGGACTCAGAGTTGGGATACAAAGTAAATAAATTGTAATAAAGATAATTTTTTAAAGTTTACACGACAAACAAACAAAAAATCAAAACAAACAAAAACAAACAAACAAAAAAAAAGATTACACTACACCAAATAGAGTACATCAGAAAAGAAAGTGACCTCAGGATATAGTAATGCAAATACTAAATGTGCAAAACAAAGAAATAATATAAAAAGCTGCAATGGAAAATGACCACGTAACATGTAAGGACAAACTTGCTAGAGTAGGACTTAGCTTCTCAATGGAAAATAGAAACAGTATGAACAGTAGAAGCTTTCTAAATACACATGCATGTCTGCAAATGTGATCTCAATGTGATCTCTTCCCAAATAAAGGGAAGAGAACACTAACTGGATGTCTCTTTTCTACAAACAAAGCTTCCAGTACCGTCATTGTGTTACATCTGATTTTGTTGTTAGTCAAAAGAGTCCCATGTGAACCCCCACACAGGCCAAGTTGTTTTCAGGACTACAGGTTGTTTCCACAAAATGTGGCAACGCTCTGTTGCTTTAAACCACACCTACAAAGCTCACTGGATGTGGGGAAGTTGAGCTGTGCCTACACATGGCCTTCACCCCAGATGCCAGCATCGTTAGTGCAGGGTTGTACTCCGAACATTATCCAGGGAGAAACGCAAGCACCAACCCAGCCAGAAACCCTTTGATCTACGGTAGTGTGCTGCTTGCGAGAGACGCAAGTGGAATGTGGCCCAGAGCTTGTGGGAGTGCCAACCAGTACCTCATTTGGCTGTCTGCATACTTCCTGTGGCTGAGTCCATATTAGGCTTTACCCTGAGAGTGTATAGCCAACGGGCTTGGCTAAAAACCAAATACTTAAATCCAAATACTTTTGTTCATAATAAATAAATAAATGAACAGGTGCAACAAGAAAATAACTTCTATTATCTTCCTGCTATGTTCACAGATAGGTGTCTTGTCTCAGTTATCATCACAGATGCTCCCCCCTGAAGTAGATGAGAACAGATGAGCGGACTAGACATTATGCAATGAGTAATGGATTTTGGAACACTGAGTCTTTTTTTTTTTTTGTACATATATTTTTACTTTAAAAAATTATTTTTACAAATTATTCATTGCATATCCTGATTGTAACCCCCTCCCTCAATTCATTCCAGTTCCACCCTCCCTCCCTCTTTCTTCGGTCCCCTTCCCCTATTCCACTTAAAGGTGAAGTTCTCCTCCCCTGCCAACAAAGCTAAAAATTCTGAGCCCAGGGGGTCCTGTAGAGACTGATGCACCAAGCAAGGACCGTGTTCATAGGGGACCTAGACACCCTGCTCAGATGTAGCCGATGAGAACACTCAGTTTTTAATGGGATGTCTCTATCATATCCCTCCCCTCAGGGATTATAGAACACAATGAAAAAAGAGGTAGAACGTATGTAAAAGCCAGAAGAGTTGGAGGACACCAAGCAAATGAGGGCTTCTAAATCAACATAATTGGTATACATAGACGATTCAGAGGGAACGTTTCCAGGACCTGTACAGGTCTGTACCAGATGGGGCCTAGAGTAAGATGAGAAATGGACGCATGCCCTCATTCCTAACCCGGAAGCTATCTCCAACTGATAACCACTTACACAGGAAAATATATTTTCTTTAAGGAAGTCTTCTTGTGGAAGGCAATTACTCTTAAGGGTAGGCTACATGAGAAGTGTAAATAAAAATGAAGTTTTATTAAATTTTATTTTTATATTAATTACAGTTTATTCACTTTGTATCCCAGCTGTAGCCTCCCTCCCTCATTCCCTCCCAATCTCACCCTTCCTCCCTCATCTCCTCCCATGCCCTTCTCCAAGTCCACTGATTCGGAAGGTCCTCCTCTCCTTCCATCTGATCCTAGCCCATCAGGTCTCATCAGTAGTGTATGCATTGTACTCCTCTGTGGCCTGGTAAGGCTGCTCCCCCTCAAGATGAGGTGATCAAAGAGCCAGGCACTGAGTTCATGTCAGAAACTGTCCCTGTTCCCCACTTGGATATTAAGCTGCCATGGGCTACATCTGAGCAGGGGTTCTAGGTTACATCCATGAGTGGTCCTTGGTTGGAGTATCAGTCTCAGAAAGGAACTCTGTGCTCAGATTTTTTTGGTTCTCTTGCTCTCCTTGTGGAGCTCTTGTCCCTTCCAGGTCTTACTATCTCCACCTTTTTTTTATAAGATTCTCTGCACTCTGCCCAAAGTTTGGTTATGAGTCTCAGAATCTGCTTTGGTACACTGCTGGTTAGAGTCTTTCAGAGGTCCTCTGTGGTAGGCTCCCGTCCTGTTTTCTGTTTTCTCCTTCTTACAGTTGTCCCAATTGTCTTTCTGAGTGAGGATTGATCATCTTATCCAGGGTCCTCCTTCTTTTTTTATTTTTTTATTTTTTTTAATTTTATTTTTCTTTTTAGTTACATTATGTTAACTCTGTGTCCCAGCTGTATCCCGCTCCCTCATTCCCTCCCCAACCCCGCACTCCCTCCCTGGTCTCCTCCCTGCCCCTTTCCAAGTCCACTGATAGGGGAGGACCTCCTCCCCTTTCATTTGACCCTGTTTTATCAGGTATCTTCAGGGCTGGCTGCAAAGTCCTCCTCTGTGGCCTAACAGATTGCTCCTCCCCTGGGGGGGGGGGGGGAAGGGTCAAACAGCCTGCCCTGGAGATCCTGTTAGAAATAGTCCGTGATCCCCTTACTTTGGAAAACTACTTGGTTACTGAGCTACCACGGGCCACATCCGAGCAGAAGTTCTAGGTTATATCCATAGATGGTCCTTGGTTGAGTGTCAGTCTCAGAAAAGACCCTGTGCCCAGATATATTTGGTCCTTGTAGAGCTCCTATCCTTTCCATATCATACTAACTTCCCTTCTTTCATATGATTCCCTGCACTCTGCTGAGGGTTTGGTTATGAGTCTTAGTGTCTGCTTTGAAACACTGCTAGGTAGAGTCTTTCAGATGCCTTTTGTGGTAGACTCCTGTCATAAGTTCAATGCACATCCCATTTGTCTTTCTAAATGAGGATTAATCACCTTCGCCTGTGTCCACTTTCTTGATTATCTTCTTTAGGTGTGTAGATTTCATTATGTTTATCATATCTTGTAGGTCTATATAAGCGAGTATATACCAAGTTTGTCTTTCTCCTTCTGAGATACTTCACTCAGAATGATCTTTTCTAGATCCCACCACTTGCCTGCAAATTTCATGATTTCCTCCTTTTTGATTGCTGGGTAGTATTCCATTGTGTAAAAATACCACAATTTCTGTATCCATTCCTCCGTTGATGGACATCTGGGTTGTTTCCAAGTTCTGGCTATTACAAATAAAGCTGCTACGAACATGGTTGAACAAATGTCCTTGGTGTGTACTTGAGCAAATTTTGGGTATATACCTAGGAGTGGTATAGCTGGGTCTTGAGGTAGCACTACTCCTAGTTGTCTGAGAAAGCGCCAGATTGACTTCCAAAGTGGTCAATGTCAGTTTACATTCCCACCAGCAATGGAGGAGGGTGCCCTTTTCTCCTTCTTGCTTAGCTTCTTTAGGTGTACAGAAGGAAAGATTTCCCTTGCTCATGGATTGGTAGGATTAAAAAAGTGAAAATAGCCATTCTGCCAAAAGCAATCTGCAGTTTCAGTGCAATTCCCATCAAAATAACAACACAGTTCTTCAAAGACTTTGAAAGAAAAATTCTCACCTTCATATGGAAAACTAAAAAAAAAAAAAAAAAAAAAAAAAACCAAAAACAAACAAACAAACAAACAAACAAAACCACAAAAAACCAGAATTGCTAAAACAATCTTGTACAACAACAGATTGTCTAGAAGTATCTCCATCCCTGATCTCAAGCTGAACTACAGAGCAATAGTAATAAAAACTGCATGAATCTGGCATAGAAACAGAATGGTCGATCAATGGAATCGAATAGAAGATTGAATTTTATTGAAATGAATCACACTTTTGGCAGTTCCATGTTCCATATTATCATGTCAGTGATTTTTTAAAATTAATTTCATCTTATTTTTTTTTTACTTATTTATTTACTTACTTTTCTTCTCTTTCTCTTACTCCTCCCTCTCTTTACTCCAAGGTTCATTTTTGTACATTTTATGGCTTCTAGTTTAGTGTTTTTATGGATTTTCTTACTTTGTGAACAATACGTTTCTGGATCATATCTGATCTTTGTTCTTTTCTTTTAGATCGTTTCCTTTCTTCATTTTGGCCTATTCTGATGTGTTATTTTGTTGTTGTTGTTGTTCTCAAAATGTATTTATGCCATTTTATTATTTTCCATTAGTAGCATTCTTGTTTTCTAATGAGAGACAAAGTTGTAAAGTAACTTAAATGGGTAAATCCAGATGGAAAGAATTGGGAGGAGCTGGGAAAGGTAGTTCTCAATTCTTTACAAAATAAATAAATC